CTTGCAATAATGCTATCAAGTATTGTGCAAGTTTTTGGAGCTGAAGCTAACATTCTCTCTTCATATTGAGTGGTAGTTAGTCTTTGTTTGGCTATTTATTGTGTAGCCCATAGCTCACTATGTTCGTTGTGCTTTTTTGCAAGTCGGATTAGTGTGTCGATAATATCAATGTATGCGCGATGATAAATGATTTCCTAAATGAGGAGTAAAATACATACGTCAACACCAGGTTTTAATCTGTTATAGTCAAGATCCCAAAGTTTGTTTATAGCGGCACTAATATCGGATAACTCCTCCTGAGTTGGTTCGGGCGCATGATGATGTTGAATGGGATTTTGAAGGGGCTCATTTTGATGTTGATTGGAATTTTGAGGGGACTTATCATAATGTTGAGAGGATTGCGTAAAGGATTTATCATGATTTTGGTTAGACATTTTTTATTTATATTCAATGAAAAAAAAAAAAATCTTTTGTTAGTATGAACCGATTTTTTTTTTCAAGTTAGACGAATGAGACCGAGTATGACGATTCCTCTTCAATGCACTTATATTTGAAATTCAATATTACCCTTTTCTGTTACGAGTTCTTTAAGTGGGAATGTAGATGTTCCACAAACGGTCGATTTTTACAATTTTTTGAAAAAATCAAGTGATGTTCCGATACTAATTTATATTTAATTTCTTATGATTTAAACTATAAATTATTAAAAACAAATTAGTAGTTATTGAGTTGTTATTATTAATTAATTAAAATAGTTTAAGGATAAAATACAGTTTATAGTTAATTTAAATATCAATTATATTTTTAATTATATTTTTGCGAATAATTAATTCGTTTTTAATGAAAATAGATTTAAAAATTAATAAAATTTATTAAAAAAAACCATCTATTTATAAAATTGTATTATAATTTTTAATACAATATTTAATTTAATTTTAATAAAAAACTTGTTTTTAAAATATTATTATTATAATCAAATCATAAGGTTTAATTTTTATTGAGAAGTTTATGTAACTATTTATAATGTTATATAATATTCATATAATAATCAATTTATTATTATATTAAAATACTCTAAGTTAAATCTAGAAACAATATTCATTTTTCTAGAAAATTAATATAAATCTTTATTCATCAAATTTATTATTAATAGTTTATTACTATTAATTGTTTAAAAATTATAAATTGCTAATAAGAAAAAAAAAAATCAAATAAAAGGAAAAATAGATATAATTTAAACTTTTTCAAAAAAATTTATTGATGGAATAATTTTTTTTCAAAAGAAATTTACTTGATTAAATTATTTTTTTTTGCTTTTAATTAAATTTTAAAAGAGATTTTTTTTTTTATTACTCATAATATAAGATGAGTCAATTCAATTAAATTCATTATTTAAATAAGAATTAAATTGTAATAGTCCAAAAAAAAATATAAAAATCTTAATTTTTAATTAAATAAGTCTTTTTAATATTTAAAAAACTTAATTAAAAATAAAGTTTTATAATTTATATAATTTATTTTTTGCTTTTTAATATCTTAAATATCTTTTTGAGAACTTAAAATTTTTGAAAAAAAAAAATTATTTTTAAAACTTTTTTTTCAATTATTATTAATATTATTAATATATATACAGTATATATAATCAATAAGGACTTGTTTATGTTTTATAAACTAATATATATTTAATATTGATCAATTATTTTTAATAAGAATTTATACTATCTAAAATTTAAAATTAAATTAAAATAAATAAAATTCTTTAAAAGTAAAATTCTAAAAGGATTAAAACAATTAAATATATATATATTATAAAAAATTATTATAAATTTTTTACTTTAAAAGTTAAAAACTCTTTTCGCAAATCCCTCAGATCCTTAGAAATTTGCTTTTTAGGCAATACACATAAGAAAAAAGACAATATACACAACTCAAGACATATACTCTCACAGCACTAACATACAAGAAACATCTTAACACAGAATAACACTTCGTACATAGTTTTAGTCTGATGATTACTGAGAAAACACAATATATATCAACAATCTTGACCTTTTTTTCTTTCCTAAGAAGAAGGAAATAAGTTAACATAAACTGATTTACAGTCAGAAAAGGGGAGCCAATATCAATTTCACAGAGCTTGCAGTCAGGCCAGTGTAGATTGACAGCTTTCTTGACATTACAAGGAATCTCAAAGCAAATAGGTTTGCTCAATAAATCAAGCAAATCTCAAATCCCTCAAGACCCAGAAGGATATCAAAGCTCCTCAAGGTCTAAACAGCCTAACATGTATATCCCATTGCCACATATATCAAAACACTTCACCAAAGTAGTGCGAATACGTACACATATATAAAGCTGTTGTCAAAATAAGTTTGACAAAGATCTATCACAACAACATAACAAGAACGACTAAATTTGATAAGATTAACAATCACTACTACCACAACAGAAAGTGATCAATATAAATAGAGTGTCAGGGGTCTGTAAACACAACAACAA